AAAGACAGTATAAGTCATTATAATCCGTAATTATGTCCCCACTGGATGCAACAAATGCCTCGTTTATAATGGGTTTTAATGTTTTTGTCTCATCGCTCCGGCCGGACACGGCATCACAGTATGGTGAGGGGCGTAACATTTGCGTCACCCGCTCGAGGTATTCGGACAATCACAACGCACTGGACAGCTGGCCAATCACAGCACACCTCACTTTTCAGACTGATGAGCTTTGTAAAAATTCAGAAAGGTGGGGCATAGAGGAGAAACAATAATGTACAGTATGTGGAACATAATGTGTTTTTTAACCTTAAACCGCATAAACACATTTCATTACACCAAATACACCAAATAATGTTCTTTTTAGCAACATCATATGACCCCTTTAATAAAAAAAGAGTAAAAAACAGTAATATGGTGAAATATTATTACAATTTAACATTACTGTTTTCTATTTGAATATATCTTGAAATATAATTTATTTCTGTGATGCAAAGCTGAATTTTCAGCATCATTGCTCCAGTCTTCAGTGTCACATGATCCTTCAGAAATCAGTATAATATGCTGGTTTGCTGCTCAAGAAGCAACTGAAATCTTTTTAGGATTATGAATAGAAAGTTTAAAAGCATTTATTGGAAATGTTTTAATGAATATGAAAGTCTACTGTTACTTTAGATGAATTTGAAGTGTTGTGTCTTTATAAAAGTATTAATTTCTTTCAAAAACAACAACAAAAAATATCTTACTCAAACCAAACTTTTAAATGGTGATGTATGTTTGTAAAGAGCACAATGATTTTAAAATTCACATTTGATGTCTAAAGTGCATAACTTATACTAGAATCTATTCAAGTAATCTCTTTTATTTTATTTATAAATTCAGAACTGTTTGGCATTCTAAAACCCATTTGAAATTCCAGTGGGAGCCCATGCTAAAAATGCTAATGCTATGATAAAATGCTAATATCAGGACTACGAACTGACCAGCTCTATTCTCCAGAATCAAGACACACCAAACTAAACACAGTTCAAAGTCATACGATATAATGCCTCAGCATGTCACCTCAATAAATCTAATCGGACACAGGAAACATGCGTGCTGAAGGGACAGGGGAGCAGGGTGAGGCTGGGATGGAGGGATGTGATGAGTGGTGTTTTACTGGTGCATCCGCAGTGGGATTCTCTGAGCTACAGCCACTCGGCTGCATGCTGTGGAACGGCTATATTTAGATCAAGACTGTCGCACAACACCGGCCACCTGCACACACACACACACGTGCACACGCGAGGCATAGCGAGAGAGAGAGTCTGGGAGGTAAACCGCATATCAATCAAAGCAGTCTAACAGACAGACACCACTCCTCTTTGACAATTACAGTATTTTTAGTCTCGCAGGACTCGGGTCAGAATCGCCAACCATAATCAACTCAAGTGCAAGATGCAGCAGCGAAGCCATAACAATGACTTTAGCCAGGATTTGTTTTTTGTTTTTTTTAATTCAAAGATCAAATTGCTCAGAAAAGTAATAGCACTGATTTGCAACATCATCAATGTCCTCAACACAAATTAGCATTTGAGCAATAGTATGCCTTAGCAAGCACTAAATACTAATAATCAAAAAAATTTTTCTAATTGGAAGTATAATTTCCAGAGAAATCATTGGTGCAAAAGCACACTTACTTTTAAAGGGGTCATCGGATGCAAAATTCGGCTCACTATGAACAGAGCTGTTTTGAGGTAAAAAGGGTGTTGTTTTACACTACCATTGAGAAATTTTAACCACAGCATGCTACAGACGTTTCATTAAGAATCATATTAACTTGTGGAAAATGGGCATCCGATGACCCCTTAATATACAAATAATTTATAGTTAATGTCAGGGTCCTGTCACTTCAGTCTTGTTTATTCTTCGTTTGATGAAGGAGCTCTGACACTCCTATCGTCTTGTGCTTTTATGAGTATGCAGCTTTGAGTTGGCTTGGGCCCAGGGTTGCCAGGTCTTCACAAAAACAAAACAAAACAAAAAACAGCCTAATTGTTATTAAAAACTAGGCCAAAACTAGCCCAATCGCATTTTTCCATGGTTTTCCCCTCTGTCAGAATTGTGTTCTGGGGGGGTCGGTAAAACCTGTGGTAAAAATATTTTCTTTAATTTATACTATCTGCAAGTAGTTTTTTAAAAATACACTTTTAAGATCAGAAATGTACGACAAGTGCACATTAAGGGGCCGTTCACACAGAACTCGTCTAAAAACGCGAAGCGCAGCACTCAGAAATGTTTTTTTTTTTAAAGTGCAGCGCAGGACGCAGGGTCAGGGTCTGCGCGAGACTATATTTCCACCCGCTGCTGCTATATATTCACTCTTTGTTCACCCGCTGTCCGCTTAGAATAATTTTTTCCCGACCCGACCGTTTCCACTAAATTTAGATCTCGTTTCCAGAATCTCACATTTAAATTTACGCTACTGAAAGAAAGAGAGATAGGCTGACAAATAAAAGTGTAGTCTGCACAAAATTGTATTTTATTTTATTGGTCTTGTCAAGAGTCTTGAATTTATTGACTTTGACTTGAATTTATATGAATTATCTTAAGACACAAAATTCGTTTAATATTTTATGCAACACAGTAGGAAAAAAAAGTGTCAGAGAAAATAAAAATGTTGTACAAAAATTGTATTTCTTATTTTTATTCGTCTTGTCAGGATACAATTAGTTTAACATTTACAACACAATAGGGAAAAAGTGTGGCAGAGAGAAAAAGAATAAAAATGTAGGTTGTACAAAAATTAGCTATTTTTATTCGTCTTGTCAAAATACTAAATTCGTAGGAAAAGTGTCGCAGAGAAAGATAAATAAATACGACATCTGTCATTTAAAATTATAGGCTAAGAAAAATATAAACAAAACCGAGTTGAGTTACTGACCGCTACTGCGTTTTATTCGGGAATTAAATCCCGCAGCGCAAAAAATCTGGTCGGGTCCCGCTGTTCCCGCAGGAGAGCTGCGGGAATGCAGACCTCTAACGCAGGGGTCTCGAGACGCACTTTTGAGATGCAATAACGGAAATAACATAAAATAGCCAAACAGCTGAATACATAGAGAATATCAGACTCTTTTTTTAAATAAACAGGTTGTGATAATCGCTTGAAAATGTTTTATATCCAGAGTCGGACACAGCCAATATGAATGCTTTCTCTGCTATGTTGCTGTCACATAAAACAGTTGCAATGCCAACTTGCTACTGTAAACAAAAGCTCTCAATGCTTGCCCCGCCTTCAGGGACTTCTGATTGGTCCACTGTTTTGGAACTGTCATTGATGGGCGGCGCTGCGTGTAAAAGTTGAAATTCTTTCAACTCGACATGGCATCTCAAAAACATGTTGCTCATGTGTGAGATGCTGCAAAAGACACTAGCGCATCGGTCATACACATCCGGTTAATGCGGATGGAAAGCTATGGAAAAGTAGCACTTTGGAATGGAAAAACGCATTCTGTGTGAACACCCCCTAAGCTCACTTCTTTCTCACACAGGATTCTGTGTGCGTGAGTGTGTTTTAACCACACATAAACACATTCCGTTCAGATGAATGTCTGGCTTTGGAGCTTCTAGATTATTGAAGGGTGTAGTTTCAGTATCTAGTGTTTTGGTTACAAAACCTGCAATAACCATTCAGGCGGCCAACACCACTTGATATTGAATCCAAAAAAAAGTGAAAGAAAGAAAGAAAGATATGGTGTTATTTACAGTGTAATTCCGTGAAGCTGAATGGAAATGGATCCCAGCAGCACAGAAACTTTGCTTCCAGTAACACAGAAGAGAGTGTTAGAGTGTGTGTGTTAGATTGACAGAGACACAACACATCAATAGTCTGGCACAGCAACAGTTTGCCTCTCATGAGTGTGTGAGGCCTGTGAGAGTCTGAACATATAGTGAAACAGCAACTTAGCAATACTCACTTGTTTAATGTGAGGTCCAGAATGAATTGTGATCCAAAGGCCTGAAGTTGAAACGAAGCCTGAGCGAGATGGACCTCCTATTGAAGGAAGGAAAAAAAGTCAAGATTTAGTGTCAGACCAGATGCTAGAATGACTGACCGTCACTGTTTACAGATCAATTCCCTCGAGCTGTCATCGGAAATGTGCCTATTTTTACTGTGCGCTCAAAACAATGTGAAGCAATTCCATAGCAATGTCTTCCTAATGTTCATAGTATCATAGTCATAGCATTTGCAGCTGCAATAATCACAAACATATCTTCTTATCACAATAAGGCTCGGGACTGGCTGAAACGTGGCTGACACAGTCAGATTTTGTATGTCTGTTTTCATCTCAAATGGTACATAATGAATGGGAAGTTGTTTTGAACTTATCTTTTGGTTTGCTTCCATTAAGTTAATAAATAAAAGAGACGAATTATCTTTCATTTGCTGTATTTAAATCATTTAAAGTATCAAAACTAAAATAAATCAATCAATAAATAAATAGGTTTTATCAAATAGTGCTGTAAAATGTTTGGGTTGAATTTCTAGCCTCATAAATAAAATAATTATCATAAAATTAAGAGAGTGCCATAATTTTTAGACACACTCCTAATTTTTAAAGACTTTGAAATGTACATCTTAGGAGTTTGGTCACGACAGACAGCGCTGGATGGGAGATCAATCATGTCGTTGTCATTCATTAAAATCATCATATCATGAATACACGAAGGAGGCTATTTTTGTTTCTTAAAGGAATAGTTCACCCAAAAATTAAATTTCTATGAAATCACTATAATCCAAAAGTAATCCACACAACACCAGTCCATCAATTAACATCCTGTGAAGTGAAAAGCTTTGTGTTTCTAATGAACAAATCTATCATTAAGACGTTTTAACTTTAAAGGCAGAGTAAGTGATTTCTGGTAGCCAATGTTGATATTTGAAATCACCAAAACAAACACACCCCTACCCCAAATGGGTCTATTTTGATAGCTCCGCCCCACACATACGTACGCGACCCAGGCAACGATTAGTTAATTTACGGGTCCTACTTCTTGCCTTATCGTTCCGCAGACGTTTTCCTCTTTTGTTTTTTATCTGCCATCTCTATCTTTCTGTCGCTCCGTTCACTGAAAGCTCTCTCCTCCTCATCATGAGTAGACACGCCCCTTACTGCTGATTGGCTACAAGTTTGTTTTGCTATTCGGCCCGAATCAGTTTTCTAAAGTGTTTTTGAAAAATCACATACCCTGCCTTTAAGCCGCCGCTTCTTGCCACATTACGAGTCCATAATTCATAATAACACTTCCTCCAGTGAAAAACTTCATCCATGTTGTCCTCTCACATCAAAATCCACCTGAATATTTGTATACGTAGAGCTGTTTTAGACTGTTTTTGCTTGTAAACAGTGCTTGATCTGTGCATATTTCTCTCCTAATTCAGACTGGAGAAAACAATGTTATGTATATATAGACTCGAAATGCAGTTAAAAGCGTCTTAATGATGGATTTGGTTCTTACAAACACGCAGCTTTTCACTTCACAAGATGTTAAGTGATGGACTGGAGTGGTGTGGATTGCTTGTGGATTATTGTGATGTTTTTATCCGCTGTTTGGACTCTCATTCTGACGGCACCCATTCACTGCAGAGCATCCACTGGTGAGCAAGTGATGCAATGCTACATTTCTCCAAATCTGATTAAGAAACAAACTCTCTATATCTTGGATGGCCTGAGGATTAGTACACCATCAGCAAATTTTAATGTTTGGGTAGACGTTTCAATTAAAACGGTCTCATATCCTGCATCAGCTGTGCTGTATTTAGATATAGGGTTTCTATGATATAACCCTATAACAGATGCTGGGTTGAATGCTCTCACCTGTCCATGTGGGTCAGGAATCCTAGCGCGAGTGTTCAGGTCATGGTAGGTGCTCTCCGAAGCTTCGTTCCGGTAGTAGATGAGGCGAGACGGGTATGTGAGTGTGCGCTCTGACTCCTGCGGCCCACTGGCATTGTGCTTCTGTCCGGCTGCAGTATCATCCTTCTGTAGCAGCAATGACACTGCCTCCCCGGGGATCTCAGCCTCCAACACTGACAACACACATGCATGCACACACACTCGCTTGATGAACGCCATCTAAACCAGGCCAATCTGACACTGAACCACAAAGAAACCTCAAATTAGACTTTGGTGTCAGGTGTACTGCATGCAGACTACAGTACGTGCGTCACAAGCTACAAACAATCGGTATAAGCTTGATATATTTAAACTAAAAATAATATAATTGAAATGATAACAATGCCGTGCTTTCTCTCTTGCCTCGGGCCCTATTAGTAAGTTATACCATTGAGGGATTTTAAAGCAGCACTATGTAACTTTTGGTGCTCTAGCGGTTAATAAACAGAACTGCACACATCCCGCGGAAGAACATTCCAACCAGGAGCAACTTCTCCAAGTTTATGTCTATGGCGATTCACGCAGGTATGTGTTACTCCGCAGCGGTGATGACCCGACCAGGCTACAATAGTCCAAATATAAGTACTTATTATAAATGTACCATAGTGATTCAAAAACGCGGTTTGGAAGATGAATTCATGATGTACTCGCTCATTATATACATTTAGCAAATTTTGAACACAGAAAAAGTTACATAGCGCTGCTTTAATTGGATCTCTCTCTACAAGATAACATTACTGGTTGTCAACATTCCCTAAAGAGAAATAAGCCAGACTCAAATTAAATAGAGTTGTAAAATTATGGTAACACTTAAGGGATTTAGGGAACACTATTCACTATTAACTAGCTGCTTATTAACATGCATATTACCGTACTAGCATGTTGACTGTTTATTAGTACTTATAAAGTACATAATGTATGCCCTATTCTGCATAACCATATTCTAGATTTCTTAACAATAGGCCTATACCTAAACTTAACTGCTACAACCTTACCTACTATCAATAAGCAGCAAATTAGGAGTTTCTTGAGAGAGATCTCATAGTTAATAGTGAATATGTGTTCCTTAATCTAAAGTGTTACCAAATTTATTTGTTTCATTTTTAATTAATAATAATTATTTTTATTCTTACATGATATTTACTCATATAGTATTACATCTACATTCAGTCATTTAGCAGATGCTTTGCTTTTATCCAAAGTGAATTACAAATGAGGGCAACAGAAGCAATCATAACCAACAAAAGAGCAATAATATGTAAGTGTTGTGACAAGTCTCAGTTAGCCTAAATAAAAAGAAAAGTCGAAAGAATAGAAAAAGAATAGAGAACGCCAGTGTTAGAGGGTCATTTTTTATAATAAATAAAAAAGAAAACAAGTAGAGAGAATACAAACGAATAGAGAATGTGTTAGAGGGTCATTTTTTTAAATAATAAAAAATAGAAGAGCGTATATAGTAATATAATAGTATATATAGTTTATATAATATAATTCTATAATATATATCTGAGAAATTAAACCAGACTCAAGACTAATGCATTTTTAGTTCATGCGATATAAATGCAATACTATTAATTTGACATTTTCTTTATACATATAATTATGTATGATTTTATATTATATTAATAATATTACATATTACGAATCTGATGAGAAATGTTTAGCTTGTATTAAGATGTCTTTTCTCGAGCACAGTTTGAGACGTTTTTGGGATCTTTTCTAAAACTCTAACTAGATTACTAAAGTCAGTCTCTCAAAATAACACGCATGACACAGCAAGCTCCATGCAATAGTCTAATTTTGCTCTCCCCTTGTCTAGGAGAAACAAAAGAAATGTCATTTGTGATGGGCTATAGACTGAATATTTACATTATATCAAACAAAACGAAACAGACGCATTAGAACATCTGCAGTGTTCTCTGTGAGCTCAGACCATATCAAGTAGCAGAGCCACAGTAAAGCAGCATTTGCATGCATGCGTCTCTGTCGCTCTCAGGGCACTGCTGCTGTCCTCCGCATGCTCACACAGGATGCCCTTGCAGAAGCACAACTCACAGAACGCATCCCGAACCGGACACTCACAAAAGCACAGCGCATTCCTTTATAAAGCACACCGCAACAATCAGATTCCGCGCTGGGGGAAAGTACAAGTTCAATGCAAAGTGATTGAGTTAAGGTTAAGTACGCACCGGCTGACGCTGACGCCACGGAAGGCTGGAGACAGGAAGCGAGGATGCACGCGAGCAGATTTGAAAGTACTATCACATACATGATTCATAGCTGGTCTTTGGAATAGCGTGAGATTAACGCATGGATGCGGTGACTCGCTCGGGACTCATTGTCCTTGATGGTCCTGATGCTGCGGCGAGTGAAGGCGGTGGCCAGCCCCAGATCTCCGCGAGCACGCTCCAGATAATGATGCGCTCGCGCAGGTGCCGTGCATCTGCCCACTGTACCAGCTGATCTACTATGTCTACACTTATTAGCATAAGATACATAGAATTAAAATATATGGAACTATGTATGCAAGAACTATTATTGCATAGATAAGATTATACGCGTATTGTACACAGTTCATATAAACATATATCTTTGAATAATGTTATCCAGAGTTCTATACTCTCTCTCTCTTCATACTAGGCCTACTTCAAGAATCCTATTCTGTAGAATTTCTGTTCGGCAGTATACAGTATATCAAATGTGTGATCTATGTATAATTTCATGTATAAATATAGCTACCAGGGTTACTGTCATGACGACCCTGAGATTCATACACTGAAGGTCTGAACTGAGGTTGTTATGTCACTGTCTTTGTACTATGTATGTTCTAAATATCTGCAGGGCTATGATTCAGCCACAGGAAATTACAATCGTGCTGAAGAGACAAACAGAAAATGTATGAGTTCAAGAGTTCAAAAAGTAAATTACTATACTCTCTCTCTCTTCATACTAGGCCTACTTCAAGAATCCTATTCTGTAGAATTTCTGTTCGGCAGTATACAGTATATCAAATGTGTGATCTATGTATAATTTCATGTATAAGTATAGCTACCAGGGTTACTGTCATGACGACCCTGAGATTCATACACTGAAGGTCTGAACTGAGGTTGTTATGTCACTGTCTTTGTACTATGTCTGTTCTAAATATCTGCAGGGCTATGATTCAGCCACAGGAAATTACAATCGTGCAATACTGTTTTGTTACTGAACGAATCAGTGTGTTTGAACAAATCATTTGATTGAGTAATTCAACGACTCATTCATAAAGACTGACATAAAGCGTGTCAGTTAAAGCTACACTACAGAAGATTTTTTTGTTGTTGTAAAAATGCAATTTTTTGAGTGACAGTCTTTGGTGATGTGATCCTTCCCCCCCCCAAAATGTAACAGTGCATCAAAAATAGATAAATAAAAGAATCACAAATTTGCACACCAGAAAAGATCAGAAATTGTATAACAACATATAATATAAATGAATTTTCACAGATTTCTAATGTTGTGTCTACATATTATTATAAGATGTAATATATAATGTATTTATATAATGTCACATTTAGTTTTATTTTTATTACTTCTAATAAAAATAATTTTCATTGCATATAATGCATTTTTATTATATTCTTTCAGGAATCACATCACCAAAGCCTGTGTGTCTGTAGTTGTCTGTGTGTCACCAAAGCCTGTAAATGGCGCTAGCGAGCATCCGACGTAAACTCACATTGTGTTTATTAATTTTACTGTGTAGCTAACTGTGAGGTGACACTGCAAAGTATATTTTTCAAGTGTTTATATGTGTAATCGCTTTGCTAGTTGAATTAATTCGTTACCATACAAATAAATAACTGCTCCGGCACTCCCGCGGACGGTTCGCTCGCGCGCAGGTAACGTTAATGTAACTGTAAGTTACAGTGGGCTTTATCATGATATCAAAAAGTAATTACTGATTGCTTATTAAAATGATAATGTTTTGTAATGGTGCTTTCAGTCATTGACCTTTATTGATTTTGCATTTATCAAATATTTTTGTTGTATAGATTTGATGCTTAGTTATAATGTGAATTTACTTTTATAAGCCACTTTTTATGTGTGAAGTTATGCTCAGTAATGTTCCAATGTGCTGTAAAAGAAAAGATTAATCTTTTTGTTTCAATTTGAAAGTTGTTTGGTAATGTAGTGCAACAACAATACAATTTATTTCACCAGAAAATACTAACTTTTTCTGTGTGTGCAACCAATAATCAATCAATCAATCAATAAATAATTATTGTGTCCATTTTAGTTTAAAGTTCACTTTGACAGGTTACTAATGTTTAATACTCATTAATAAATGGTTCACATGTGTTCACTTTACATTAAGGTTCACTTTTGCAGGTTATTAACGTTTATAACTCATTAATAACTGATTCACAGATGTTCACTTTACATTAAGGTTCACTTTCACAGGTTACTAACGTTTATAGATCATTAATAAATGGTTCACAGATGTTCACTTTACATTAAGGTTCACTTTCACAGGTTACTAACGTTTATAGATCATTAATAAATGGTTCACAGATGTTCACTTTACATTAAGGTTCACTTTCACAGGTTACTAACGTTTATAGATAATTAATAACTGGTTCACAGATGTTCACATTACATTAAGGTTCACTTTCACAGGTTATTAATGTTTATACATCATTAATTAATGGTTCATTACATTAAAGTTCACAGGTAATATTGGAATTAAAATTTTCAATATTAATATCTCATCAAGTCATGATTGTGCTTTTATGATTTTCCCCCAAAATAAAAATCAAGATGATAATTTCATCTTGATAAACAAAATATATCAGTTTCTAATCATTGCCGTAGATAGGCATCATGAACTTTTGCGGAGAATCATGGGTAAGCTACAGAGTAGATTCTGGAAAGAAACATTGTAAGAAAAGTGACTCGAGTCATGAGATATACAGTAATCAGAATCAGAATAAGAATCAGAAGAGCTTTATTACCAAGTATGTTTACGCACACAAGGAATTTGACTTGACGACAGGAGCTTCCATTGCAGAAGAAAGTACAAACATAGGGCAGACATACATAGGAATAACACAGTAGGGCTGTAATATAACAATAATATAATAAAAAAAGAAAAATTGAATAATGTACTATATACAGAAATAGAAGTATAGGGAAAAATTTAATTGTTTAGATAAATGTACAGATATGTTTATTAGTGTGCAGATATGTTATTTACAAAGTGTGCAGTTTAATATAAATATAACTATGTTAGTTGTGATGGATGATGTATGGAATTAAAATTTTCAATATTAATATCTCATCAAGTCATGATTGTGCTTTTATGATTTTCCCCCAAAATAAAAATCAAGATGATAATTTCATCTTGATAAACAAAATATATCAGTTTCTAATCATTGCCGTAGATAGGCATCATGAACTTTTGCGGAGAATCATGGGTAAGCTACAGAGTAGATTCTGGAAAGAAACATTGTAAGAAAAGTGACTCGAGTCATGAGATATACAGTAATCAGAATCAGAATAAGAATCAGAAGAGCTTTATTACCAAGTATGTTTACGCACACAAGGAATTTGACTTGACGACAGGAGCTTCCATTGCAGAAGAAAGTACAAACATAGGGCAGACATACATAGGAATAACACAGTAGGGCTGTAATATAACAATAATATAATAAAAAAAGAAAAATTGAATAATGTACTATATACAGAAATAGAAGTATATTCTGCGAACTTCAGGAGCTCGACAGAGGGGTCTTTAGAGGTGCAGTCATTCGTGTAGAGAGAGAAGAGCAGTGGGGAGAGAACACATCCCTGGGGGGCGCCAGTGCTGATGGTGATAGTCCTGGATGTGAGTTTGCCCAGCCTCACTAGCTGCTGCCTGTCTGTCAGGAAACTGGTGATCCACTGACAGATGGAGGTGGGCACGGAGAGCTGGGTGAGTTTGTCTGAGAGAAGGTCAGGCATGATGGTATTAAAGGCCTAACTGAAGTAACAAATAGGATCCTTGCGTAATTCCCAGGTCTGTCGAGGTGTTGCAGGATGTAATGCAGTCCCATGTTGACTGCATCATCCACAGACCTGTTTGCTCTGTAGGCAAACTGAAGAGGATCCAGCAAGAGTCTAGTGATATCCTTCAGGTAGGCCAGGACCAGTCTCTCAAGTGACTTCATGACCACAGATGTGAGAGTCGTTAAGTCCAGTGATTTTGGGCTTTTTGTGGACCGAAATGATGGTGGAGCATTTGAAGCAGCAGGGAACTTCAAACAGCTCCAATGATCTGCTGAAGATCTATGTGAAAATGGGGGCCAGTTGGTCAGCACAGACTTTTAAACAGGCAGGTGAAACACCATCTGGTCCTGAAGACCCGGTTCACATCCTCTAAACAGACCTTAAGCACAGGTTGAATGGTGGGGGAGGGAGGGAGGGGGGGTTGCAGGGGGGGTAGGTGAAGGTGTGAAGTGCAGATCAGAGCGGATGGGGGGTGGTAGACGATCCTTTTCAAATCTGCTGTAAAACACATTCAGATCGTCAGCCAGTTGTTGACGCAGATAAATGCCTCATAATATCCAGTAATATTATAAATTTGACTGAAATGAGAGTTTAGTATGAACTTTATTTTTGTTGCAGGGGTGGTAGGTGAAGGTGTGAAGTGCAGATCAGAGCAGATGGGGGGGTGGTAGACGATCCCTTTCAAATCTGCAGTAAAACACATTCAGATCGTCAGTAAGTTGTTGATTCTCCGCAAGCTGTGGGGGTGGTGTCTTGTACATGGTGACGTTCCTCAGACCAGTCCATACTGACGCTGGATCGTTTGCTGAAAGCTCTTTTCTCAGCTTTTCTGAGTAGTTTTTTTTAGCCACTCTGATCTCCTTTGTTAGTCTGTTCCTGGCCTGGTTATACAAGATTTTATCCCCACTTCTGTAAGCATCCTCTTTGGCGTGACGAAGCTGCTTGAGTTTTCCAGTAAACCACGGTTTATC